CAGGGAGTATTTCAACATGTTTCTACAATGCAGAATTTGTTGCTTTGTGATCAATTTTCTCATATATTACCTGCACCAGAGGGATTGATTGTCTACCAACATTGAATAGTTGGGTTGAGACAGTACGTTGATAATCAGACCCAGAGAGTGATAGCAGGTAGACTCCAATTCGACTAAACCTGGAAAGGTTCCAGTGTATTATCCTCAAAGGAGGCAGATTGTCAACTACTAAATAACCTCTTGACCTATGACATGCTCCCGATGTGAATGGCGCTATACAAATGTAATTTTATTGTTGTTGTATACAAGGCAGACCTTCTGGCCATTAAGAATCATCTGCTGTACAATTACTGCCAATGTTTACAAATTTGCAAGGCTTGTGGGGAGAGCGCAGGGGAGTGGAATTAATTTGGGTAGCTTTTTCAGTATGGGCACAATGGGCCAAATGATTAGCCCAAGGGATGTGAATGGCATCATTTTTGTTGTTCCATTGCCTATGTTTTGTCAGTATTTCAAAAATACCCATCCGACCAACTCCACTGAGTCCATCTATAGAACATGTGAGCCCGGGACACATTGATTCCTCCAGAGTTATAACACATGAATAGAATATAGGGTCATCTTCCTGGATCTCTAAAACCTTTCACACAAATTAGTAGTGCACACATATAATGTTTATAAAGAAAATATATCAGTTATGTAAAGATAGTTGTTTCAAATGAATTGGCAGTGTTGTAAATCATAGAATTATAGAATCATAGATTAATACAGAACAGAAGGAGGTCATTCGGCCCATTGTGCCCATGCCGGCTCTTTGAAAGAGCTATTCAAATTAATCCCAATCCCCTGCTCTATCCCCATAGCCCTGCAAATTTGTCCTCCCCAAATATCTATCCACTTCTCTCTTGAAAGTTGTTATCGATTTGGATAGCTCTTTCAAGCGGAGTCCTGTAGTTCAGTGGTTAGAGCACTCGCAAGCGAGACACCTGGGTTCGATTCCTGGCAGGGTAAAACTCTGGGCAAGTTTCCTTACTCCACATGCCTGATAATAATCCCTCAAGAAAAAAAACAATATTAAGATTGGTCACTTCAATCCACGACAGTTTGTGGGACACTGCTGTGCGTAATTGGCTGCCACGTTTCGCCCACAAATTTACAGTCGATTCACTTTACAGTATATTCTGTGAAGCGCTTTGAATCGTCTAGGAGAAGTGAAAAGCGCTATATCAAATGCAAGGATTATTATTATTATCATTATTATTATCAAATCTGCTTCCACCACCTTTTCAAGCAGTGCATTCCAGCTAAACAATCTGCCTTGTATACAACAAACAACGATCTGGAATTACCTATTATATTGTAAGGAGATAAATGATCTGATTTATTGAAATCAAGAATGTTGTTATCCTACAGATAACTGATAATAATTGTGAAATGATAAAATAATATATACTCTAGCAATATTGTCATGCACAGAATTATATTTGTTACACAGTCTAGGCAAACATTCCATGCAGTGTTAGGGAGCCCTGCATTATTGAGGTCCACCTCAAGGCTGGACTACGGGAACTCTCTCCTCACCGTCCTTCCCGCCACCTCCCTCCACAGGCTGCAGGTCATTCAGAACGCTGCAGCTCGTGTACTGTCCCGCACCAGACACCGCGACCACATCACTCCCACCCTCGCTCGCCTCCACTGGCTCCCCATCCCCCAGAGGATCGAATTCAAGATCCTCACCCTCACCTACAAGGCCATTCACGGCCTTACTCCCTCCTACCTCTCCGACCTACTATCCCCCTACCTACCTGCCTGTACCCTCCGTTCCTCTGTCTCCGGTCTGCTCCAAATCCCCCGCCTAAACCGCCCTACCATCGGTGGCCGGGCTTTCAGCCTCTCAGCCCCGAGGCTCTGGAACTCCATCCCCCAGTGCCTTCGCCGCCTCCTCCCTTTCCTCCTTCAAGGCCGGTCTCAAGACCTTTCTCTTCAACCGTGCCTTCAGCTCCCCTCTCGACTCTCTACCCCCTCTTCGCTCCCTCCCTTCACCCTGACCATTTCCCCCTTGCTCGGGTCTCTACCCAACTGTCCAGCGCCTTGGGACATCCTCCCGACGTGAAAGGCGCTCTATAAATGCAATCATGTTGTTGTTGTTGTTGATGTCCTTTGGATTAGACGTTAAATTGAGGCATGTCTGCTTGTTCAAGTGGATGTTACCAAACTTATAGCACAACTCAAACAAATTAAAAGGGAAGTTCTCCCGATGTCTGGCCCCAAATAAAATTGATCATTCGCTTTGTGGGACATTGCTGTGCACAAAACTAGTTGTCGTGTTTGCCCACAAAATACACAGACATTTTACACATTACAGTAAGTCACTTTCAGACATTCTCCAGAAATTAATATCATTTATTATTATTACTGTCAACATAATTTCACAAAATCATATTGTGTCCTCGTATTCAGTACTTGCTACTTCTTAGGCATAACAATACTTAATAATAATTCTCACATACTGTGGGTTTGACATCATTTTATTCTGACTAAATTGGGTGAAGGGGCAAGCCTTATGGCGCAGGACTCGAGCAAGGAAAGAGTAAAAGCAACAAAGCGATAAATGAACCAATAGCAGTTAAGTGACACCAAAGTTATATTAAAAAAGCCTGCAGATTCTAAATAATTATAATAAAACTTGCATTTGATATAGCACTTTTCAGGTCTTCTAGACATCTCAAAGCGCTTCACAGAATAGATTGTAAAGTAAATTGACTGTATACTTGTGGGCGAAAAGCGGTAGCCAATTGCACACAGCAGTCATGGATTGAGTGACCAATTTATTATTGTTTTTTTCTTGAGGGATTATTATCAGGTGTGTGGAGTAAAGAAACATGCCCAAGGTTTTGCCCTGCCGGGAATCAAACCCAGGTCTCTCGCTTGCGAGGCGAGTGCTCTAATCACTGAGCTACAGGACTCCTCCAGATTTGGAGTAGAAAATCAAGCCTGAGGGATGTGAAGAATTCATGAGTTGCTTAGAAATAAATGTGTTAAAGCTTAAAGATCATATGATAAATTGTGTGGACATCAAATTATGCTTGGAGAGGAAAGTTCAAGAAGGAATAATTTTACTAGAAAAACACAAAAGGTTGCTGAATGCTGGGGGTGAGAAAGTAATCAGTAATACAAAGCTTACCTTGTAGCCTGACTGGTAAATGATTCTCCCTAAATATTGGAGCAGTGTAAACAACATCAACAACAACTTGCATTTATATAGCACCCTTCTTGTAGGGTAGTCTCAAACCCTTAAAATCTTGTATGGATTTGGTCTTTAGAGAGTGTTGGTGAGGTAAAAACCTTTTGATATGAAAGCAGATTCAGCATTAGTGCTGGAGGAGATCAGAGAATAGTAAATTTAATACACCAATAAAAGTGTAGATTTCCAGGTGAGAAGAGGTGATAGGTATTGGCTGGACTTGGGAGAGACATTGTCTTTAAGGAATTGATAGAAAGCAAGACATGGCCTTGATGTCTGTATCATAGAACTGATGTTGTTAACACTGCTCCAATGTTTGGGGAAAATCTTTTACAAGTCAGAACTCATGTTGGACACTAAAATGTTGACAAGATGGAAGCCATACTCCTTGGCTCCCGTCAGTGTCTTCCATCCTGCGCTCTGACCTCCTCAACCTCCCCAGCCTATCCCTCAGTCTTACCGAACCAATGTGGAACCTAGGAGTCAGGTTTGATCCACAACTTTCCATATTTCTTCACATCCGGTCCCTGACCAGGATCACCTTCCTCCACCTCTGCCACATTGCCCACCTCTGACCATACTTTACCCCAGACACAGCCAACTTACTCCTCCATGTGTTTGTCACTCACCTCCTGACTCGACTTTTCAAATGCCCTCTTTGCTGGTCTCCCCAGCTCCACCATACACAAGATCCAGCTGATTCAAAACTCCACCACCCACATGCTCACCCGTACTAAACTCTGTACCCTTATCACACCAGTTCTAGCCAGGCTCCACTGACTCCCTATCGCCAAATGGATCGGTTTCAAGATTCTCACACTCGTTTTCAAATTCCTTTATACCCTGGCACCTCCCTAACTCTCCGTCCTGCTTACTCTCCAACCCACCACTACCTCCGCTCAACTGGCTGCAGCCTCCTGCATGTCCCTCATGCTCTCTGTTCCACCATCTGTAGCCGAGCTTTTACCCTTCCTCTTTCCCTCCTCCTTTCCCCTTCCTTCCCCATCTTCAGATTGCGCCTGAAGACCTTCCTCTTTGACCGCGCCTATGGTGACATCCCCCCTCCCCCCAGCTCAGCGTCGTGCTCGCAACTGTCAAGTGCCCTGCGTGAGAGGCGCTATATAAATGCAAGTTGTTGTTGTTTTTGTAAAATGCATTACTCGGAAACAGGATTCGAATAGCTAACTGCAAGTCCAGGTGTGTGAATGTCGGATTGCAAAACTCACAAAAGATTCTCCAAATAGAAAATCATGAATTCAATAAAAAATGGCCAGTGAACAAACACAAGAGTCTTTTTTGGGAGAATGTATCAGTTTGGGATTCACAAGTTACTGACAAATCTTTAAATCCAATATTCACAAACAGGAAATTGCAATTAGATATTTTAATGCGTTTGAGAAAGTCACATTTTATACATCCATTGTCAATAACAACATTTGGAGGGAGGTGGCCAAAAGCAAAATAAAAAAGCTGGGTTTTCAAGCATGATTTGAAAACAGAGAGGAAAGGGTGGAGGGATTTAGGGGTAGATTTCCAGTGGACAGGGGCAAAGTTGCTGTAACCTCACTCGCAGGGGGCGTGATGCAGGCTGAAGTTAAAGAGGGAGTAATTTCAGACGTAGAGTTAAGGGGGAAAGGGTGGTGCAATGCTGGAGAAATTTGAAAGTGAGAATGAGGATCTTAATGTTGATCCATCTGATGGGATATAGGACATCTAAGAACTTGTTTGATCGTTACACTTCTCTGTGTCTCCACAGTATGGAATAAAAAAGAGAGAAGAGCAGGAAGCTGAAGCCCAGGCTGCAATGGAAGCACAAGCAGAAGGAAGTCTGACACGTCCCAAGAAAGCTATACCAGCTGGATGTGGAGATGAAGAGGAGGAAGAGGAGAGCATTCTGGACACTGTCTTAAAATATCTTCCAGGTCCTCTTCAGGACATGTTCAAAAAGTAACACACAGTCTTCGTCCTGTGAGATAACTTTTTGTTTTGTTGCTAAATGTAACCAATTCTCATTATAAAATGGGAATTTATTATCTTCATTCCAGCTAATTCTGATTTAACAACCCATCTCTTCCTGTATAGTGGCATGAAATCCTCATTGCAACAGAACAGCCAGGAGAATTTTGTGTAGCAGTCTAGAAATAATCTAATCTGATAAGCCATGTTTATAGTTAAATAAAATCTAGATTATTTAATAGCGAAAAGAAAAAACTTGTACCTTTTTATCAATATGTGACCAGTTCTGCCCTGCAGAGCTTTTCAGACTTCTTGTTACATCGATATAAATACCTGTTATTCATCATACTTACTAGTTAAATGATAATGCATATTACTGCATCAGGTCACAGCACTGGGTCATGTCTACAAAGTAGTGCTAATTTATGGAGCACTGGAAGTGAATTCAGTCGTTAATTACTCTGTTAAAATCAATGTATGGTGATTTTCTTATTTTGGACAGAGCCACTAAAAGAGCCCAGTGTTTTCTTATGTAAGTGTGTGTTATACATCCATTGGTTTCCTCCTTAAGGTTTGTGAGACATATTTTCTATACATTCTTGTTAGTTACCACACAGTTTTATTAACACTATATGGATGCTGACTAGTAGACAGAGACTTCATGAATCTAAACATTGCAACATGATATCTAAGCTCTGAAGAGTATTTAATTAAATCTTTACTTTGGTAATTCATTAAAGGATTGTGCAATAACAGACAATAGGTATTATTGTTGCACTGCCCTCCTTCCAAGGGAGTTTGACATTGGATGAGCCAAGTACTCATCACTTGCTGCATCTCATGAACACAGGGGACTAGTTTTAATCTTACCGATTAATATCCCCATCACCAAACAGGAAATGTTTTGCCAGTTTAACAGGTGAATTTAAATCCCTGCATTTGATAATGCAAAAGAATAATATGTATTCTTCATTTGTATATGTTTCTGGGGCCCCAGTTTTACTGCAGAAGCTATGGACCTTACAACATTTTATCTTATGTTAAAGATCAGAATTATATTTTAAATAAAATCGCAATGCAGCCTAAAACTCAGTCATTTGCAGAAGATCATTGTAAACCATTGTTTGTCATCAGTTTAGGGAAAGTACAAATGATTTCTTCATGAAATACAAACCAAGGTCTGGAATAGGTTTGCCAGGAGTAAAGTAGTTCATCATCCCATCACATTCAGGCTGCAAACATTCAGATCTGTGGAAAGTATCAAAGCTGGGAACCAGCTGGTCTGGTTAGCCCCATTTCGCAGCCATTTGACAACTGTCAACAAAAGACAGAGCACAATAATTGGTGGTGTGAAAATGAAATGTTGTAGCCAAAATACTTTTGCTATAAGTTCAACTTTTTTTCAGGATGTTCTACATGTCTTATTTGTCACAGATTAGGTCATTGTTGTCTGTCAAAGTATATAGTGAAACCTACTGTCAAAATTGTAAATAGTTAAAATATATTCAAAACAATTAAGCCATTTAAAATTAATATGAGGAATAGATCAAATTGCTGGATATGGGACAATCCCATGATAACTATCACTGTGAAATTCCAAGCAGCATGGTGAAGTATTTGTCATTGATGGATATTATGATCTGTTTCAATAGATAAAACCGCTGTATCTTCAGTACTGTATTTTCCTCATACCACATCATTTAGTACAATATTGTTAGTTACACTATTAGTTTCATCAACAAGGGAAATTCATCAGTAGCTGGAATTATTTTGCTAGGACAAAATGCCATATTTCGTCTGGAACTCTCAGATGAAACTGTGTTTTCACTGTTGAGTGGAAGGTTAGATGCACATGTTATGAAAACCCAAAGAGGTGTACATCAGCCAGAAAGTTATTAATGCCGGTTACTGACTCACAATAGAACTGTTCTGGGTGTTGGGATCCATATGTTACTCTCCTTAGGGAAAAGTGAAGATACACGTTTTCCTGTGGAAATATTAGCATTTCTGCAGCTATTCATCTGGGAGATAATTCCCCACGGGCTCTGTGACTGACAGCATGTTTGTGTTCGCTTAGGGACTCTGCAATACCCAGTGTGCTCGCTGGCCTGTCACTTGACATGGATCCCTTGCATTACCCGCTCCCCGGTGCAGATCAGGCCACTGCCACAGATTTATCTTTCAAAACAACAGATGTCATTCCAAATAAAGAGTGAAAACACGATCTATGTAAGCAAAGTACCTGATTTGTATTTTAGTTTGAATTAAACCAAAGATAAAGTCGCTCCATAATTATGATTTATCAGGTGTTCTGGTTTGACACTAAGTTGACATTTATGGTTGGTGAGAGAAAGGAAATCATTTTAAGCAAAAGGCAAAATACTGCAGATGCTGGAAATCTGAAATAAAAACAGAAGTCGCTGGGAACACTCAGCAGGTCAGGCAGCATCTATGGAGAGAGGAAAGTGAGTTAACGTTTCAGGTCGGTGACTTTTCGTCAGGACCCATTTTAAATCATTTTAATCTCAGGTATGGGTTCTTGCATTTGAACACTCTGCGGTAGATCTGTGTGCGGGGCTTCCCACCACTCTCTCACAGCCTTCCAGTAGAATAAAGCCAAGACTACGATATGAAGAGAAAACACATTTAGTTTGACAACTTTAATAATTCTGCGTATATTAGCAGAGAAAGCCATATAAGTGGGCTTGACAGTCTTGTACGTTTAATTAAACAGAAAAGAACAGTATTAAGAAAATAGCATCAATCATATGACGCAAGGAAGATGTGAAAAAGTTGGGAATTGCATGCAAAACATTTTTTGTTACATATGTGGCTGAGACAGAAACCAAAGCAATAACATTCTGTTGCAGCACAGTATGTGTAACAAAATCAGACAGTGTGTACCTCAGTGAAGGACATTGACTTGAAGGCATTGTTGCAGCAACAGCAGTGTTCTTATGAATGTGATAGAAAATGTAGTACCTCTGAGCAGCACCCTGATATCTCCAGTTATAATGCAACGTTATTATGTCTTTTAATTATCACGTAGTTTGCTCTTATTTCATTTGTGAAGTATTTGTTGTCTCACAGTATAAAATCCACTATGTTATAGTGCATTTGAGAAATTGAATTGTGGACTGACAAAGAAATCGTACATTTCTCGAACTACCGAAACAAGACAAACTGAAGCAAACATAAACTACTGAAACATTTAAAACGTAATTAAAGACTGTCAAGCCAACATAAAATCTGACTGCAATATCTATAAATAAATACTAGTCTGTTTGAAAAAAACAATTTGTTCCACGTTACTTGCCGTATCAGCTATGCTTTTTATCCTTCATCATTCTGGTTTTGTTGTCTACGCAAAAAAAAGTCATAATATGCTACTGATTAACTTAAATTTAAAAATAAGATTCTAAGATTATACTGTAGCTAAAACCTTTGATGTGACCTGAATTTAAATGTCTGATGCATCTTCAGTTGCTGTACCTGGTGTTTGTCAACAAGCTGTTGTGAAAGTACTGCTCATTCATTGATTTGTTTCAGGCCAGTTCTTATTGGTGCTTGTAAGCTACTCTTCCGAGACGTGTATTTAGTATAAATTGGTGAGTTTTGTAATGTGAAGGATTTCAATCCTGCTTTTGAGCAAGTGCATGCCCAAGTACTTTGTGACTGTACGTTGTGTTTATTTCAGCACTTGTTGCATCTCACTGCATGCCATTTCTATGGAAATTGGTGTAATGTTCATCTACAATGAAATCACGCACGGTAACAACAATAATAAAGTGATTTCATTCAAATTTGTATCTTACCTACCTTGTGTTTTATTTGCAAAAACGAGGTAGAAAATTGGGAAAATAGTTTATTTTTCCTCTGTTATTTATGAAATTGGATCAAGCTGGAGCAGCATATTTCTTGTATTTTACACGTTGAGGAATCCGATTTTCACTGTATTGGTCATGTTTTAGTACTGTTTTTATGTAGTCACAGATCTCTTATGTTCTAAGGACTTGAAGTAATTACAGAGATGAGACGAACCAGTTAATGATCAAAACCATTGAAATCTCAAGGCATCTCCCGAAACAGCAATTTCATATCAGAGGAGCTAAAATTGCAACAAGCGTGGGAAAGACAATGAAGAGGGGTGGAAGCTTTGCAGACAGTTCCCACAAGAAATCAGAGTTTGTGGCAGTTTGCTTGTTCAAGGAAACCACGACAATCAAAATATAGTCAATCCACTTTACAGTATATTCTGTGAGTGATTTGTGTTGTCTCAGTGACGTGATAAGATGCTATATCAAATGCAAGGATTATTATTATTATAGAAAGAGGAGTTCTCTTGGTGTTCTGGCCAAGAATCCTTCTAATAAAATCCTTCTGATAAAATTGTGTGTTTGTGTTTCACCCACAAATTTAAAGTAAGTTCACTTTACAGCATATTCTGTGAAACGCTTTGAGACATCTAGAAGACGTGAAAAGCGCTATATCAAATGCAAGGATTATTATTATCATTCACTGCATGGTTGTTTGTGACACCTTGCTGTGCACAAATTGTCTGCCTAGTTCGCCTGCAAATACAGAGCCATTGTATCTGACAACAATTACCTGTAAAGTGTTTTGAGACATTTCTATGTTATATGTGCAATATGAAATGCAAGAATTATTATGATAGTACTATAAAGATATGTGGAAAAAGCAGACTTGATGGTCCAGATGACTTAAGAAGGTGTCTCTTCTTAAATGCTCCTTAAATTATGAGTGCTTGGTAGTTATATTTAAATGCTGAATACATTAAGCACTTGCATCTATTTGTTGTGCAGCAGTGAACACCAATATATTTACTGACTATTGATACAGTAATTTGCTCCAAAACTTCACTCATTTTCATTGTTGATCAGCTGAATGTCTGTCACATGCAGAAGTCCATCTCCATAATTAAGAGTATCCAAACCAGAATGAGAGCTCCTTGTTTGCCACCTATACATAGAAATTATGATGTCTGGAATGGAATGTGCACTCTCTCCCCAGAAGAATGCACCCTGCTTGCCTATTTCCGGAGAGTATAAGAACAGGTTGGCAAGAGCCAAAGCTTGGGGATCCCTGGGTGTGCATTGAGCGTGTGTGTGGAGTCCTATAGCTCAGTGGTTAGAGCACTCGCTTTGCAAGCGAGAGACCGGAGTTCAATTCCAGGCAGGGCGAAACCTTGGGCAAGTTTCCTTACTCCACACGCCTAATAATAATCCCTCCAAAACCAAAAACAATAATAAAATTGGTCATTTTCAATCTCGACTGTTTGTGGGACATTGCTGTGCGCAATTGGCTGCCGCATTCGCCCACAAATATACAGTCAATTCACTTTACAGTGTGTTCTGTGAAGCGCTTTGGGACGTCCTCCCGACGTGAAAAGCGCTATATCAAATGCAAGGATTATTATTATTATTATTGAGGTACCACTAGAGTCTAATCAGCGAAAACCACATAGCTCGTCATTGAGAGCGATATCTGCAAGCTTCCCACTGCCTGTCCAACTAGGACAACCCTATTCATTAGGGTTTTGCTTGCAGGGTTAACAGTGGGAAGAGTCCCTGTGATCAGTACGCCTAAATCAAATGCAAGGATTATTATTATTATTATCAAATCCATAGTTGTGTCTTCATTCTGTCCATACTTCCAGTTTCTCTGCACAAAAAATGCCCTCATCTATTCCAGCAAAAACAACTAACTTGTTTTCTCTTGTGACAATTTTCTCCTGAGGCTCTGTGCTTTCTTTGCAAGTGAACCGTGGTGGACAGAGCACAGCTCATAGAGTGTGATCGGAAAGCTCTGTGCGACTTACCTTTACATGTCAGAGTTTCCTGGAGTATGGAGTGTATGACTAGAAGGAAGAGAAATCAAACACAATTTGTACAGGGTAACTGGGACATTTGGGGAGGGGTTACTGAATGGAAATCAGGAGAGATAGTGGCATGGAGAAAATCATTGCATGCTGCCAGGGATTATATGCTTAATCAGGATGAGATATACAACAAAGTAATCCTCTAATACAAATATTCTTTGATTTTTTGTTTTGTATTAAAATTAAGTAATCCAGCAAGAAGGGAGTTCAAGCCCTCCTCACCCTTTCCTCCTCCAATGTACACACAATGCAATTACTAACTCCTTAGCAGCATCATTCTAGATAAGTGGAAGTACAGGAACATAGTAGCTCATCCGAAACAACACCCTTCAATTGCAATACATTTGCGCTGAACAAGGAGCATCTGCTTCTCTGTGGTGAATTAAAAATACTTTTATGACATTTTTGGACAAATTGTTGAGTCTGAGGCATGGAGATTTCTCATGAGAATAGTCTTAAAACTGTCACCTTCAGATTTAAGATTGTGCAGAATTTTTTAGTTTTCAAGTTTAAGTTCCCAAAATTCTGCAGGAATGAAGTTCGAAAAGAAGGATCTTAAGACACGAGGAATTTGGAGCATCATGTTTTGGAATGAATTTCATCTTTCTTGACTTGCTAATTGCTGAAGAGATCACACCAATGGGACAGATGTTCAGTTCCTGCAGGATATGTCGCATTGCAGCACTAACGATAACACACACAAATAGCTGTGATTGTCATCAACACATGCCAACTATTCAAAGAATTTTGTTACGAAAATATACTCTCTATGAATAAGAGATATCTGTCACAGAATTTTGTAATTTACAGAACAATAATTTCAGTGTTTCCCTGTTCAGCCAATAGAGGTGTGGATAAGTCTTAATTTATTTATAATTTCTTTTCAGTTTTCTACATTTGTTTTTGCCCCACCTTATGCTTCTTTCTCTTCACACTATTTCCAATGCAGAATAAACAAGAGAGGCAGAAAACCATCAGAAAAATATTCAACCCTCTAGATTGGGACTTCTACCCATAGTATCAGGCTGGCTCAGTTGGTAGCACTCTTGCCTCTGAGTCAGAAGGTTGTGGGTTCAAGCTCAGTGTCGGGACTTTGAACGTATATAATCCAACCGGATACCCCAATGGAGTGCTGGGGTGTGTTACATTGTTTGATGTGTCGTCCTTTGGATGCATGGTTAAATCAAGGCCCCAATTGCCTATTCAGGTGGATGTTACAGATCACATGGCACTATTCAAAAAGAGAAGGAAATTTTCCTGGTGTCCTGGCCAAAAATCCCCCTAAATAAAATTGCTGATTCACTTCATGGCTGTTTGTGGGGCATTGGCTGCTATATTCACCCACTCTTAACAGTATATCCTGTGAAGTGTTTTGAGACATCTTCCTGACCTGAAAGGTGCTATACCAAAAGTAAGGATTATCATTATTATATGATTATTACAATCTGCAATGTCTCTCCAGTGTTTCTTTTGGTCAGCCCTACATCTGATGCAAGCAAAATCACTTCACTAATGGGAT